ATAAATAAATCACCGGCCGGTGCACGCTCACAGGGTGCTCCTGCTCGCCTGGGGCCAGGCCTTATGGCTCTTTCTGGCTCCACATGAGCTCCCTGCGGCTTCGGCGTGGCACAGGGGGGATTGAGGTGATTAAAAAAAAAAAAGCTTTTTGGGGATGTCCAAGAAAACGATGTGGAAGGGCACGCAGCAGCGTGCCTTTCAAACCCCATCCCTGCCCTGCTCCTACCCACCTCTGGCTCGCTCAGCATCCCTCCGCACCTGCAAGGGCTGCGCTGGCAGCCTTCCCCTCTGCTGGGACTGCAGCAGGCTTTCCACACTCGCACCCTGCCCGGGATTCTCTGTCTCCGGCCCCTGCTGTGGGTTTGCCCTGCGTGGTAGGGGACACCCAGTCACTGTGTTTCACCCAGGCCAGAGCCTACGAGGCAGCCCCAAGCCGAATGTGCTCAGGCAGCTCTGAAAGAAGGAAAAAAAAAAAAAACCCAAAACAACCAAATCCAAAACCCCCCCAAAACCCCAAAACAACTGAGTTCTGTTATTTAAAGGTGCCAAAAAGAAAATTGGTATTGCCCTCTGGGGTGTTTTCATTTTAGGAATGAAGAGGCCCTATGGGAATATTGTTAGGACACAGCAGTGAGGGATTTCACCATCGTAAAGGATAACAGAGAGGGCAGTGGTAACACACATTGTTCAAAACTGGGTTTGGGATTCCTGTCACCCACCCTTTTAACAAAGTCTTTCTCCAGAGGGTTTTCTTTATGCACTGGGTGTCAGGTCTCAGCATCCCAAACCTCTGCTGTGGAGGCAACAACACGCCCTCACAAATACCCCAACAAAAGAGGGCACGTTGGATTTACTGTTCTTGATATTTCTAAGATAAAAATTAAACAGACCATATTAATTTAAACAAACCTCATTCCAGACTACATCATCCATACAAAGGCATACAGAAGGGCAAAAGCCCCAGAAAAACAAGGCAAAAAAAGTAAAGAAGAACCTTTTCAGATCCTCTTTTACAATTGCTAGCTTGTCTTTCTCTTCGGCTCTGACCTGAGTCTCACCTACGACCATGCAACTGAACTACACAAAATGCAAAGACACTTCCAGGGATGTCACCTTTGGACTCCATTTTCTCACTCAGCCGCTACCAAAAAAAAAAAAAAAAACCAACGCCCCGAAAGTCTCCTGCGTGCACCCTGCTCTGAGGTCCTTGCTTTGCCGAGGGAGCAGCGTGCCCCAGGTGAGCGGCAGTCTGCAAGCGCTCCTGCCGTCTGGCTGTCTCCCATCTCCAGTTGGGTGTGATTCTGGTGGGAGGCTCAGCATCGGCAGCCTTGGAGAAGGAGTCCTCTGTATGTCTGGCTGCTGTGTGCAACAAGCCACATGTTTCCGAGATGCGGTACTGCTCCCCACCGGTGCGAATCACCCAGAGCTGGCAGGGAAAGCTCTCGGAGATGAAGAAGTTTGGGCTCTTGCAGGCCACCCAGTCCCAGTCTTTCTGCTGCCAGCACTGGGACAGACAGACATGGTATCTGTGGGGGGCAGGCAGCTGCCTGGAGCAGCCTGGACAAAACTACTGCCACCTCTACCTCCCCAAGCGCTGCCAACCACGGTCTGCAGTCACCGATGACCAGGCTGGGGTTGACACACTAACTCAGAGTGGGGTAAGATTTATTCCTGACCCCCAGTTGCCGGAGCAAGATGCACCCCTCGGAGGGACGCGTGGCTCTAGCATTGCTGAAAACACACAGTGTTTCAAGGGCGGCAGAGCACTTGTTTTTGGGGCAGGGGCGCTCCCAGTCACACAAAGGTGGGCTTCAGATCTTCTTTGAAATTCACCACAGGCTGGGGCCCCGGTGCTCTGTCCAGTGGCCCGCACAGCTGCTGGGCTCCGTGTCCGTGTCTGTGCTACTGCTGCCCAGGGAGCCGCGCGGGCTCTGGAAGCAGACCTCGCAGCAGGGCCGGTGGCAGCCGTGGAACATCTCCTCGGAGCTGCTGCTGCTGGAGTCAGAGTCCGGGTAATAGTACAGCGAGCGCAGGGAGGGCTCAGCGGGTCCCCTCAAGGCACCCTGCCGTTGTCGCTGCTCCCACCCGAAAAACGGGGAAGTGCCCTGGGGCTCCGGCCATCCCTCTGGCTGGAGGCAGACCTCCCCAGGGATGGCTGGAGGGGACGGTGCTGGTGGGTGGAGCCCTCCGCCAGCCATCTCGCCTTCCCTCCCCAGGGAGATACGTGCCAACTCCCCACAGCCCCGGCTGCCTGCCTCCTTCACCCTGAGGCTGGAACGAGGGGACACATGTCCGGGGTAGCGGGTGGAGGTGGGGGGCAGCAGGATCCTCCGTCGCCGCCTTGCCAGGTAGGGGCTGAGGGGTGTGCAGATGCCCGGGTAGCCCTCCTGGACCCCCCATGTTCCTGCCTGCTCGCCTTGGGGGCCCTGGCTGCTGCACAGGGGACCCCCAGGTGAGGCTAAGCTGTAGGTTTTGCCATCCAGGCTCAGCTCTTGCAAGATTTCCCGCAGCTTCTCGCTACTCACATAGCTGACTTTAGGGGACGACTCCCGGGTCATGCCAGCTGAGATGTCCTGGCCCAGCAGCTGCTCCGGAGGCTGCCCCTGCCCTGCAGGTGTCCCACACTCCTGAGCACCTTTCAGGCCACATTCGATGCCGTCTCCCATGTCAAAAAGCAGCGCCCGAGAGCAAACAGGCTCATGGGTCACAGGTTTCTGGAGGTCCTGAGCATCGCTGCAAAGAGGCGGTGTACCCGCCAAGCGGGGAGGGTGCCCCCCCTCTC